AGACTGAAAACTGAACCGCTGTTTTAGCAAACGTTAGTTTATGGGCGCGATTTGAGTGCGTGGTGTGAATGTGTAGTGCTTGACCTGCGAATAAATAGCAATCAAACTGCGCGAGAGGCGATCCGCTGGGAAAAGATCTCTTTAGCTTTCTTTATGTGTTTGCACCATAGTTAATTGATTGGAGGGGTTATGAGCTTGTGGAGGACCTTACGATGCACAACGTCCAATAGCATTCCTTTCATTTTGATCTTATTGAAAAATAAATACGTTTCATTACTTTATTTAGTCACAAGTTGTAAACAGAAATAAAAGGATTGTGCACCGTCTGAGGGCTTCCAATAATAAAACATAAACTGCGTCACCGTTGTTTATACATTTGATGTTTGCCGCCTTTGATAACCAGTCTTCTACTACCTTTGTTTGTCTCAAGTAGACTTTCGTCCTAACATATAGTAGGCTCGATATCCAATTGCTACCTGGGGAAATGACCAAAGACTGAACTCGGGAGAGCGGTGGAAGTTGCGTTTAAACATTATGTCCTCTCGACGTCTTTGCTTGCTTGGTCGCTTCCCGGCCTGAAAAGCTAGCTCCGCTCGCTTTACAGCTTTTCGGCTATGAAACTCGTGAGGTTGACTTGGGTCAAGTCTAATCATAAGAGAATTCGCCCTTTGCCTTTCGATAAATTATGCGAACATTTGTGCGTGGGTAAAACGGAATCTGGAAGAAATAGTAGTATCAAACAAAACATACATTACGAGCTACAAGATCTATTAAGATCAATCTGTATTAATGTTTCAGTGCAACAAATGCCTGGCAAACAACTTTTATAATTTATCTTTTTTCGTTTTACGTCAGTTTTATGGTTTGTTACCTGTGCCTATCCTACACCTCTATAGTCCTTGGTTCATACATCCTACAGCGCCTGTTGTTACACGAATTAACAGAGAGGTCATTGTTCATCTCCTTTCGTAAAACCATTAGAGACCTTTACATTCTTAGACGAGGACGACAACGGAACGAGATTTTCTCAATACTAAGTAGTGCGCGCGCGTGAACAAGCGTCATTTTGGCGAGAAACCACCGTCATTCAACCACGGGATTTAGCGAGAATGTCGTAGTGCGGAAACAAGTTGTCAAATGTTAGAGGTTTTGTCATATTTCTTTCGGGAGAGGGCTTAACCTCCTTCAATAAAAATGAACGTGTTAACCTTTCTGGTGGAAAAAGTACAACAAAGTTTCCTGTGGTGTCTATTTTTTTGAGAATGCAAGAAAAAACTTTTCGTCAAATCTCGTTCCCGAAGTGGTCTTCGCCCTCGCCCTCGAATCAAAGGTCTCCATTAACAGGCATAATTACAACAGTGCTTTTGGCCCCTGGTCTCAACGTTTGGGTCATCCCCATTCTTTCTTGGGGAGTAGGTGAAGAAAGGTGGGGCGGGGGAAGGAAGAATTTGTCATACCGGAAGTATCGTTCTACTAAGCAATATGTCAACATTATATTTGCCTTTTAATTCCGCTAATGTCTGAATTTTTTCCACAGGGCTGTACCTGCACGGGGAAATGCGCGACAAACAATTGCCCGTGCAGAAGAACCTCCTCGGGGTGTTCTGGGGATTGTGGATGTAAAGTTACAAAATGTGCGAACCGCACTCAGGTACAGAGTAATATTATCTTTACCCCCTAAAACAAAAATTCCCCTTTGGGTTTCCTGTCATTCTCATTGGGAAATAATAGCAGATAAAAGGTAGAAGTTCTCCAACTATAAGTCAAACCTCGCTAATGAGGACAGTGAAGGGACCAAAGAAAGTGTTCGTATTAAGCGGGTCATGTTAAAGTCAAAAATACACCTTTTATTTAATCTAGATACTACAGAAATAAAACAGGACGCAAGCATTGTCAAACTTAACATCTCTAAACTTCACCAAGCCGTTATTCCGCGGCGACTATGTCCATGAAAACACTCAAAAGTCTCGACAAAGTAGCTCATTATACGTTACCTAACCCAAATCTATTCTCTGCATGACTCGATTGATGTCAAAATAGTCAAAAACTGTCGTCCACAATTCGTCCTTTCTGGGGTACCATAGCGCTAAGAACATCGACATTATGTCAACTGAAGGTCTTTTTTCTTTACCTGCTTAAAAGGTTTTTTACAGCACACACTGGGTGAACAATACTGTCCGCATTAGTGAGGTTGACATTATATGAGAATCTGTTCATTGGGCACGAAAAAAGTGTCCGTTGTCCGCAATAACCGGTGTCAGTATTAAGGGGGTTAAATTTAGAGAAAATGCCGGGTGCATGGACTTTCCTCAAGGACAAAGCAAACTGTCCGTAATAACAAGGTGCCGTTATTAAGCGGGTGTCTGTAAAGCGGTTTGACTGTAATTACTCGACGGAAAACACTACCTTCTCTAGTAACGTTGTTGACAAAATTTACCTTACTTTGTTTTTAGAAGCTTGTTACTGCTGTCCACGATGTCGACACCGCGATCGCAGAGGGTGAAAGTGGTAAGTAAAGTCTTGTTATTCCTCCAAGCCCGAGTATTAATAACTATAAATTCTAACTAGGACCGTATTGTTCCAGCAGCAAAAACAATACAACTTCTGAACGTCACCAGCAATATATAGTAATACCATTTTGTTGATTAAAATTTGCACAGTCAGTTGAAACATCTTGAGATGATCGGTGGTAAGGATATAACCGTAGTCGAAACCATGGTCACGGCATAGTTATTCAAAAAGCGATTACCGCTTACCCGGTGATAAAATCTCGGTTTCTTTTTTTTTTTTTCATTTTTTGTGTTGATTATACAAGTCATTTTGGAGTGTGTAAAGGTCAAATTGTAGGCCAAAAGACTTAACCTGAACTTATGAGCCATCTCGATTCTAATTTCTTGAACACTAACTCGAAGGCCTCTTCACCAACCTCGTTCCCAGGTTCTCTCTCCCGACGGGTTGGAAAGAACCCTGGAAACGAGGTTGGTTTGAAAGGAAGGTTTTTGCCTCCTCCCTCCGCATGGGTTCGATAAAAGGGGCGAGGGTTTTTCGGATTTCCATAAAGTGAGGTGAGTACATGCCCATACCACAAAAGGTCCTTGCCGCCGAGCAAATTGTTTTCTCCCGTGAACGTCCCTGTTGCTTTCTGCACCCGCTTTCGAAGCGGCCTGTTGCACAAACCTGAGTTAAAAGAGTTTTACGCTGATATTCTTGGTTTAGAACCGTTACCGCTTCAAAGCTCGGAACTGACAGAGGAACGCAAAGCGTTAAGCGAAGTCAAAAATATACCCTCCAAGGAATCAAATGAACCAGTCAAGATCAAGAAAACAGTGTCATCGAAGCTCAAACCAAATGGTACTGAGAATCAACCTGTGCCGAGTAAACTTCCTAAAACCCTCCATAAACCGCATTCTAGCAGCTCGTTATCGTCTTCTGATGAGGACGCGGTTCAATCAAGGCAGCATGGTTTCGTGCGACCCGGGAATACTCCTGGTCGAACTGTGCCTGTACACAGTTTACCCAGGACACCTGGCTTCAGCTTTGGCTCCGGTAAAAAGGTTTTCGTAAAGAAGACAATTTCCAAGTTCAATCCGGATAACAAGCGGAAAAGGAAGTTGTTGAGACCAGTAAACACTGCTTCGAGTTTGGGTGTGAAACTTTAGTAAACAAAGAAAGTCAAAGCTATTGCTTTAGTAAGAAAGAAGAGGTTAGTAAATCACAACTCTCAAATAAAATGCAAGTGGTTTCTTTCTTCGATCGAAATTTAGTGAAGTCACAGATTGGGAAAAGAAGTGCTGAGTTTTTGTGACTCAAAGTTATAGCTTTGAGGAATTATTAGATTAGATTTGGGGTTTACGCTTAATAGCGATTTTAGCCGTAACTTTTTAAAAACAATTCAAAAAAGCAAAGCGAGCTACCGTTTTGCAAGTTTGTTGAAAGATTTTATTTTAATGTCTTCTTTGTTCTATTATTTATTATTACTTTATATTGACGAATATTTGGTTATTTTATATAGCATTACCCTAACACAGAAAAAGTACGGTTTTATCAGTTTTAAATGTAAATATCTAAAATGTTGAAGTGAATTAAGGTACTGTAGACATCTGTTTATAAGCTCTTCAGCTCTTAGGGGCGCTTTATAAATAAATTCATCTCAATCCAAGCCATAGGGAACTTTAGATAGTTGTTATTTGAATAAATATGATATATGATTATGTAGTGTGTGATGTAGAAGTTGGGAGGTTGGTAGTTTCTACGGCGCGGCTGGTGGAGTGCGTGTGATGAAAAAAGATCAGAGAAGGAGGGGGGGGGGGGGGGGGGGGGGGGGGGGGGGGGGGGGGGGGGGGGGGGGGGGGGGGGGTTTGGGAGGCTTATAACCAGACGTAATTTTTTATGTTGTTTACAGGTAGATGGGCCTATAAATGGGGGAGAGGCTTATTAACAGAAGTTTACGGTATTCTATCTCATAGTTCATTCCCTTTAGTGAGAAAACGTCTTTCAGTAATAACAAACTACAGTGTATGGCAGGGCTTGACTGTGTCATTATATGCGTGTCCAGTTAAAACTGACGTTTAAAAATAAACTAGAAAAGCATAACTTAAATCATTCGTCGATGCGTTTTTGTCTACATAATGAAGCTTTGTGTGGTGTGGACTTGCAAGGCTTGGACTAAACGCCGCCGCGACGCTAATTAAACAGGAATCAACTCCTCTGCTCCCTGTGGCCGTAGAAGACATTTATGACTTTTCTTGGTTATAATTATCATTATTATTTTTAAGAAGGAACAAACCTTGAATCCAACGAAAAAAATCCTTGAAAGGAATGAAACCTTTAAATAAGGATATTAGTAGGTTAGAGTATAAGTGGCGGTGCTGAAAACAAACAAACCATTTCGATAGGCGGTATGAAACATGTTGGGGAATTGGCGTCAACTAGATATTTTCCAGTCATAGACAGTCCTCGAGTTTCTTTACTGCTTTTAAAATAAGGTAATAAACTCGATGTCAAAGTCTGAAATGTTCTCTGGTGAATGTGCCAAGCGGATCATACTCCTCTTTCAGTTCCTTCAACCTCTGGATATTTGCCTTGCCAAAATAGTTTTCCAGGCGTTGTGCCCTATTTTTTTCTCCACAGTCAGCATAATTCTGATATGAGCTAAGTGATTGAGGCAGTAATGACCGGGCCGTCTCTTCTGCCCACCGCCTGCACGCATGCGCATTACCTTTAGCCTCGTCTTCAGTTAACGTCTTCAGGCGTCCACACGGCCTGCACACTGAACAAATAAAGTGCATCTCTGTGCACGTAGGCGCAGGAATCACGTGACTTACGGTTGATTACTCCGCCCAAGAGCTCGAGGCCGATAGTGTGTGGGTTAGAAGAAACTGGAGCTTCTTCCAATTGGCTGATGATGACATGAATGACCTGCATGGTAAGAGAAAGAAGACAACGTATCATCATTTATGAAGTCACCCAAATGTAAAATGATAAACGAGATAAAAATTTCAAAAGTTTTACACAATATAATGCAATGATAAGTTAAACTGGACAATTACGTCATTGGAGCAGCATGTAGCAGTTAGGGGCCGACCATTTGACTTTTGAGGGGGAGGGGGGGTGGAATGGGTGATTTGGTCCGGGAAAGAATGTTTTCCACCCAAACCTCCGGTAGTGATATAATTTGTTTCCTGAAGTACAACGGTGTAAGAATTGTTTTTCAGCATTATAGGCCATGAAAGATATTTTTTTTCGCCATGTATTTCCTTGCAATAAATTTTTTCCCCTCGAAATCAGTCCACAGGATATTTTTTTTCTGAAATCACCCATCAGCTCCTTATCTCATGTCCGTGAAGTCCGTTACCATTTAGTTCTATTTAGTTAAAAAGCTTCACTGCATAAGCCGTTGAAGTGAATTCACGTCTTAATCTTTGCACCAAGATATCCGGACACTTCAGTTTTAGATTGCAATAACTTTCCTTTGTTAATCGCAAGAGCTCTGAAATTTGGCCCAGAGAAAATCTATCTAGTCCTTAATATGACGAAAGACAGTTTAACTTTTTCGCCTTTGTTTCCGTCGCGAAATTAATACTTTTGCAGAGCTCCTATGTTGCCCAGTATACGGACACAACAATAACAACGTAATTGTACATAAATTTCGACAGGCAAGCGACTGATAAGCTTCTCTTGCACTTGCAAAGTAGTCTGGCAATCGATTCCAAAAATATAACCTAGCATCGTGAAATAAAACATAACAAATCACAGGGGTATGGTGGGGAACGCGAGCGGCTGTCTTAAAAATTGTGTGATTCTTACTTCCTTGTCTAGGAACTTTTTCACTGATTTAAGGAAGGCATCCGTGGACATGCCGAAGCGGCAGTTTGCAAGCTCAATTAGCCAATCTGCAAACTACTTTCTTTCCTCATTTTTTATGTTAAAAAAAGCTTGTGGAAGGGACCTCAATCCGACGGTCAAAGGTCACTCTCCTATTCAGTCTGACCTGCAGTGTTGATTTCTTCATGCTTAGTCCCCACAATAAGCCTGCTTTTCCAGCACTAATTCCTCCTTCTTTCACATCTCTTAATCCCTTTGTGACATTTTTCAGACCGTTGCAACCCCATTCTAGCAGTCACAACTGGGGAAAGTACGAGAATTCCAGGTTCAACTCAGACGCTTTCAGTTATATATAGAAAATGCAGTCACGCGAAACAAGCCGTGCACACGAAATCAAGTCGCCTGTGAATGAGTGAAGAAAATTTCCATACGGAGTTGAGTAGAATTACATTTTACGACTATATCATATATCCTAAGCTTTAATTATAGTTACTGATATGAAATAAATCTTAACTGGATAATGTACACAGCTAATTCATCGATTCTGTTCAGCAAAGAAAAAACTGTCCGGATACTGGGCACATGACATCAAAACTTAGTGAATGTTTCTGGCCTCCGTTATTCCAAACAAATCGAATTTCAAGAAGAATTAATAAACTTTCTGAAAACCTGACTTCCTTAAGAATCTTCACTTTAAAAATAAAACAGTTTCTTTGAAAATATCACACATTACCCTCCCTTTTCTGAGCAGCACTAATTTTACTGCGCAGTAAACAGCGTAAATATTAGCCATGAAAAGTTTGCTCACCTGAACAGAACGGCGTCTTCTGCGACTGTTTCGCAAGCTTTCAAATCGCCAAAACTTTCATCTTAAAGCTGAAATGTTCAGCTTTCATTCGAAATACTTCGTTTATCGAGAACTGAAAAGGGCGCCTCAAAAATTGAGTTTTTGTTTCAAGTGTCCGGATACTGATACCGTCCGGATACTGGGCAACATACTGGACAGGAAATGTCACCGATTAGATATGGCTCCACTAATTGTCTCTTTTTACCTATGTGTACATTAAATGGAGACCGGAGACATACTGCCAGCATCTCTCAGTTTCAGAGGGAAACACGGCAAAGAATACTCGTAGATGCTATGTTACAGGAACCAGAACTAAACTCCCGCCTAGTGGGCCTCCTCTTCGTATGCAGTTTACCTAAATAACACTTTAACAGTCAACATATAAACTACTGCACCTATATCACATTTCCTTCATATAGCAATCAATTCAATTTTAAAAACTGTTACAGTATGAGCGTAAACCTGATCGACCTTCTGTTCAGAAGCTTTCGCACGAAATATGTCAATAAATCCTGGTTTTATGTGACCGCTAGGATGCCTGAAAATAAGTTCAGCCATAGCAGCGATAACGTTCCGGAGACGGGCTTTATTTTCAAAGGTCAGTTTTAAAGCCTTGTTTTCCAGATGTCCTCTAATTTCGGTTATATACTCCAGAGCGAGTCTTAAGCGATTGTAGCGAACATAATAGAAATCAGGCTTGAATCGTCCAACAGAGTTCAATATTCATAACAATAAGGCAAGAGTCCAACGTCAAGTTACAAGTTTCAAATGATTTTTTTAATCGATCCCAAAAATGCTTCTAAGTAAAAAGGTCCCTCACCTCCCACGTATTGTTCTTGCAAGGTATGTAATTTGACTTGTAGCTTCGTAACCACGCCATATCCCACTTGCCCAGCTCCTCTCAATACCCAGAAGAGATGTCTGTGCTCTTGCGAAGATGCAACTATCCGCTGACCAGTAGCAGTGACAATTTCCATTTGAAGACAGTTGTCGACTGCCAGCCC